GTTTCAATAGATGAAAAGAGATATTTCAAAAAACTGATAATATGAATCGTCATTATCCGGGAGATTTAGCGGTAAAATCTTGAGACCGGGAGAAACGGTCGAAAATCTTGAGACTCCCACATTATCCAGGAGAGTTGGCATCCCTGGAAACGTACTCGCATTTGAAAGGCGATCAACACTTTTAATAAGAATCAGACTGATCAAAAAACTTTAGCTGATATCTTTTTTTTTTTGATGTCTACATGTAATTATATAGTCCATACCTTGATTTTTGTAAAGAAGCAAAGTTCTTTTTGAAAAGGGGACTAAACTAGAAGTGTAATACAAAAAGATTAGTTGGYCAAATTAAATGCATTTTTCATTTGTCTGTGAAACACTTTGCAACAGTGTTTCAGTTCCAAAATCTTGTCTGCATAGAATGATAGTGGCCTTCTCTAGGAGTAACRCTATGCTGTAACATTTTCAAGCACCTAAAATCCTTTTCTGTCTYAGCTTTAATGATGTCACCTTTTTGCAACCCAGCATCAATGTTAACTGTCAAAAATGTATGTAAATGTTTAAAAGTTTCAAATGGGGAAAGAGCACAAGATATTCTCAATAACAMTCCTCTTTTTTCTACCTTTTTATCCAGCCTTCATTTTCAATTTGAATTTTTATATAATTTTATATTACCTGATTTAAAAGTCCAACAAGTGTGTGAGAATGGCATGGTTCAGTACTTGGRTGAGGATTAAATACTGCACTATCTGTCCTGAAACACACCAWCATACTGTGGTTAGCAACTGAAATCTAATCTTAGCTTTGTTGTTTTTATGAGTTTTATAATGCAATACAATTGGGACAGTACAATGAATTCATGAAATGTCTACTATATGATAATGAAGAAATATTTTTCCTGGTGTATCAACAGTACTTGTTCATTTCACCCAAAAAACTGTACACACAAGTTATTTTGCCCAAATTTAGGACCATTATTTGCAAAATTCTTAATACTGATATTAAGTATTCATTTTGCAATTATAATAAGCAATAAATAGAGGATATTAAGGTATGTGGAGATACATTTCTTTTTTTTGAGTGTTGAAAAGATATCTGAGTGAGCATAACAAACAAAAGATTTTCAACACAAAAAAAAAAACAACAGACCATGTAATATTCGGTTTATCATATCAATTATATATAAAAGCAAATTATGTTGTAAAATATCATTTTTTTCTTCCAATGTATAGAGAAACCTCAAAAAGTGAAAAATATAACAACTTTTCAAAAATAAAAAAAATATTAGGTGTTTCATTAATCAAATGAAGGGTTGACAGTAATATTGAACTAGCCACACTAAAAGTGTTTATTTTGATGAGTTTTTTTGGTATAAATTTCAATAATGATAGTAATTAATTCATTTTACGTAAAAACTGTATTTTAAAAAGGATCAACATATTGACTTACTTGTTGACATAAAATCCAGTAGTTGATGCTGTGACAACTACCTGGTTTTCCTCCAGTGTTGTTATATCAATATATAATAAATCCCCTGAAATACATGTAATTACAGTTTTAAAGTGCTAGTCTYATCAAAACACTAAAATTCTTGAAATTTATACAGAATAAAATATAAATACCAAATAACATTCTGGCCATTTTTTGTGTCTATACGTCAACGAAAAGATATCTTTTTGAACCGATGAATTTCGTGTTTTCTGATCCGCCATTATTTGAGAGCGTGCCGTC